AATGGTTAATTTTTTCAAAAATAAATTGTTTTATAAAAATATTTCAAACTTAAAATATTTTGTAACAAATTTAAACATGCCACTATTTTCGAATGTGCTTCTTTTGAGCATGCTGCATTTTGAAGATTTTGTGGTTTTGATTCATCAAACACATTTTATATTAAAATCTAAGCTAGAACTGAATTTCGAAAATCCCCTTTATATACTGAAATTAATGATATTATTAAATAATATCAAAATAACATCATAGGATTCGTTTAAAGAAAATGCAGATGAATAGATATGGTGGCTGCACCAGAATCGAACAGAAAAAAAAAACAAACATTAACCATACTTAACTAATATTAAAAAAATATAATAAAACATCCGTAAAAATTTCATAAATAAAAATCCATTTATTAAATTTTTAATTTTTTTTTTTTTAAATAACTTTATTCCTAATCAAAACATTTTTAAAACTGTCGGAGACATGTACTTTTTTTTTGTGTTTTTTAATATTTTTAGTATGTATTCTTTTTCTTTTAATTAATTAATGTTTTTTAATTAATGTCTACAAAAATTATTGTTTAATGATTTCATATTTTCAGAAAAACAAAAACAATATATTATATAATATAATTAAATGTATATATTATATATATGTGTATTTATATATATATATATATATATATATGAAATATTCCTATTTATTAAAACAAAATTATCCTAACACTTTTTTTTTAGCCTAAGATCTCCTTATAAAATATGTTAATAAAATAATAAGATACATTTACAAAAATGGTGTATCCCTGCTGAATTTTGTTTTTTATTTCAAAAATAATTAAACATATTATTATTTTTTTTATGAATTTTTTAAACAATGTAAAAAGAAAATATTAATAAATTTTTTTTTCTCTCATTTATAAAACATAAGTATTTTTTTTTTCTAAATTTTTAAATATTTTTTCTTAATGAGTTTTCTTTTTCTAGAAATGACTTCATCATTTCTATATTTATTTATTAATTAGTTAATTTATAATTTTTAAAATAAAAATAACCAATTTATATTTATTCACTACTAAAAATTGAAATAAAATTTCTTATATAATTTTTTTATTTTTATTATTTTTTTTTTACATTGAAAATTTAATTATATAATTTTTTATATATCATCATATTTATATACAATCGAATATAATAATATATGAGTTAAAAAAAAAAAAACAATATATATTTTTAATTTTAAATATCCCTTATAAATTTTCAAATATAAGAATAATATAATTAGATTTTATTTTCGAACTTAATTATGTATATAGTTGTTCCTTCTAAACAAATATTTACTCAGCTGTAAATGTCTTAGACATGCATCACTTGACACTGATTATCGGATATTGAATTCAAAAAATTTTGTTAATTTTCATAATAAAATTATAAATTTGAAATATTAAATTCTATATTGAAAATTTCCCATAATTTTTAAATATTGTATTCTGTAATCAAATTCTCAAAATGATGCTTCAAAAACAACATATTGTGATTCTGAAGTTATTTCTATTGATTTTGCAACAAGCCCATCACGTATAAAATTTGGTTTTTGCAATAAAATTATTTATGATTAGAAGATATTTTCTCTATTTTCCATTAAAATTCTCAAAGATTTCTGCAATATTTTAGCTTTTCGAAAATTTTTAATTTTCAATCTTAAATGTCTAAAAATTTTGTATAGTATTAAGTTACTTAGTAAATTGGCCTGAAGAAAAAATTTAATTATGTAATTTAACTACTCTAATAAGTAGTTGTTGCAATGAATAACACAAAAAAATAAAAAACCAAGAATATCTAATTCTGTAATATTGATCATATTCTGAGGGACTCATAGACATATAGTATTTTAACCGAAATATTAATTTATAAAAAAAAATACTTTTGCATTTTTAAAATAAGTAATAGTTTTTGGCTTAATCCACATTTTAGCTTAATAATATTAATATGAGTTAAGGATAGAAATAGAGTGCTCAGTAAATTTCATACATACTATAATTTTGTATTAACATAATTTTTATTTTATTTTTATTTATAACTTTTAAAACAAATTCTTTGAACAATACTTTGATTGCACATTTTTTTTTTAGTCAGTTTCAAATCAGAATTCTAAATTTTTCGACGGAACTAGTCAACTTCAAAAACAAAGTGACTGTATTGGTGATTGCATCTTATACATATATTAAAAATTGCATTATACGGGTATAATCGTACTTAATCAGTTTCTTCTCATTTGGTGAATAAAAAAGCCTCAAACTGAGACGCAATCAGACAATAAATTTTTAAGTTATATAAGTATTAAACATAATTTTATTACATTTCCTTTTTTAAGGACTGCAACCTTTTCAAAGATTTTCTTTTTAAATTGTAGAAAATTTTTCAAAAATATTTAATTACAGAAAATACATAATTATAATGAAAATTAAAGGAAATATTTTCTAAATTATAATTTTTACAATAAATTTGTTATTCTTTTGCTTAGTAATACTTGATATTTTCCTTTTTTCAAAAAAAAAAAATTGCAAAATTATGAAAAACTCTATTTTATGTACATTTAAATAATTTATTACCCATATTTCTCTTAGACATGCCTCACCTGAGAAGATGATGATCGGGATATTATTCAAAAATATTGTAATTTTCAGAATAAAATTAATTTTGAAATTTTAAATTCTATACTGAAAACATTAATACTTTTATCACATCAAATTTATGCGAGGCTAAGAGTATATGAGTGTACGGGCGTCTTTCAAAAAATATAAATCTAACATCAATTTGACTTATTCAATTTATTGACAATGACAATTTTATTGAATTAAAATTTTATTGCTGAATAATTCTAGTCTAATGTCAGATCTGCATTTTGGTACATGTCCTATGTTTTACACGCATTAATTATATATTTATATACATATAATAAATCTATTTATATTATATACGTATATGTCCATATATGTATATATATATATATATCTGTATAATAATTAAAATTTTTTTTTTCGCGAAACAATATAATATATAATAATAATAATTATGTAATTTTAATAAAAATATAATTAACATATTATTCTTAGTTATTTTCCCTTACTTAAATAAAAAATTTTTCACTGTGACATTTATAAATTATATCCGACACGCATATTTTTTATTTATTTTTTTTTTTTTATATTTTTTTTTTATATTTTGACTTATATAAAATTTTAAATTTTTGTTTTTTAATATAAATACAATGAGCCTATTATAAAATTACATCTGCTATTTTTTTTAATATAATGAAAACATTAATAATTAATTAAAAAAAAATTTTTCTATTAAAAGTTCGAAAAATAAAAATAATTCTAATTAAAAACCAAAAAAAAAGTGAAGATTTTAGATAAGAGAAATCAAAAAAAAAAAAAAAAACAAAGAAAGCAAACAAATTATGAGTGGGTGAGTTCGTTTTTTCGGCAGCAGCAGCAGCTTATCATAATATGCAACTTTATATATACACTGTTTGTATATAAACATTTAAAAATACATAAAATTGGTGTTGCATGGATAAAACACGTTTTTTTTTTAAATTAAATCCTTTTATATATTATACATATAAGACTGCCTCTAAGCGTTTTAAAGAATATGTAGTCCGATTTGTTTGAACTATATTAATAAAAATTTATTGAAAGTAAGTAAAATTTATGTAAGATTTTGAATTTCTGTTATTTATATCAAAATAATAAACGTCAATTTTCAAATAAATTTTTTTTTACTTACAAATAAATTAAAAAAATTAAATTGTTTACATCGCAATTAAAATGTCAATAAAAATATTAAATTTATTGATAGTGAAATAATATAAAAATTTTTTAATATGCTACATTAATTATTTAATTACTGTGCATTCAAAAATGTCAAAATTATACATATTTAGAAATTTGAAAATTAAAAAAAAAAATGCTTGCCAATATTGAAATATTTTGTTGCAAAAGAAACGAACTCAAGGTATTTGCGAATTCTACGGTTTTTTTTATTATTTGATTTTTTTTTAAATGTTTTTTGTAAATTTGAGAAAATTTCAAGTAAAAGTTCCCCTTTAAATGGTTTGTGTAGTACGCACATATATATGTCTGTCTATATATATTTAAATTATATGCATTATTTTTTTTTTTATTTTTTATACACGTGACAATATTTTTTTAATTTATTTTATTTTAAATTTTCTTTTTTTTTTATTTTTTTCAATATTTTCATCTAATTTTTTTTTACTTTTTCCTTTAAATTTATCTTAGTTTTCTCATATTTATAATCTTTTTTTGTTTTTTTTTTTTTGATGATTTTTACTGCAATTTAATAGTTTTTTTTTTGTATTTTTTAATGTTTTTTTTATTTGTTTTAAAGGTGTGTGATTGTTAAATTGTTGTTAGTGGATGCTGTAATGAAATGATATTTTCATACTTAATTTTATCATTGTTGTTCTTTTTTTTTTAATTTTTTTTTTTTTGCTTAAAGAATTTATTTTCTAATTTTAATATATATATATATATATATATATTAATTAATGTATATATATTTATGACATATATACAATTTGTAAATATGTTTGTGTACATATATATATATATATATTTTTTTTTTGAAATATATGAGTGCACAAATAAACTATAACATTATAATATGCATACCAATATATATATTATAATAATGTCTATTTATTTATACATACATATATGCATATATATATATATTTTATAATATTTTTATGTATGTATATGAAAAATATACGTACGGCCATATTATTTATATTTATATATACCTAAATAATTAAATTATATTTTTAGTTTTTTTTTTATCTGTTATATTCATTTATGCAAATTTCTGTTTTAATATTAATGTGTGTTATATCAAAATTAATACATGTCATATTATATGTGTATATATATATATATATATATATATTAATAATGTCATAATATTAATATTTATATATATTAATAATTATTTATTTATACATAATTTTTAAACGTTTATTATAATATATGCATATATACATATTATGTGTGTGTGCATATAGATTATACACAAACGTATTTATCTATTTTTAACGTTTTGTTCTTATTATGGTTTTTTTTTTTCATTTTTATTTATTTATATAATAATAAGTATTTTTTTTTTTTTGAAATTTTTTTTGTTTTGATTTCTGTTTTAGTATTATTAGTTTATTAATAATAATAATTTTAATAATAATATTAATAATAATAATAATCATAATTAATTTAATATAATTAATATTTTTGAATTTAGCCCTAAAATAAGCTAGCTAACCCATTGTCGTCGCTGTTTGTTGTTGTGATGATGATATTTGTTGAGATCCTCCACTACTATTACCGACATTAGTGGTACTATTATTACCGCCGCCACCCGAACTACTTTGATTAGAATTATTTGCATGTTCTTGTGTTGCAGATGATGAAATATTTGATGCATTATTACCACCGACACCACCACCAGATGATGAATTTCCACCACCACCGGTACCGCTAATATTTGTTGATGAACCTGTTGCTCCACCACCACTTCCACCTGGTGTAGAATTTCCAGTTGATACTACATTTGATGCATTGCCTATAAAGCATATATAAATAGGGTAACAAAAGTTTTTTTTTTCTTGTTTTGTTTTATATTGAAATTTCTTCTGTTTTTTATTATTTCACTAGAGTTTTCAAGTATTTTTATCATAATTTTTTTTAAATATTTGTTTCAAATTACAGTGAGTGTATTTAATTTGATATTTAGCAAAAGAAAAGGTAAAAAAATAATAGGCATAAATTAATAACAGAAAAGAAAAAAAAACAAAAATGGGGGTTAGTAAAAATTTAACATTTTGAAAAAAGAAGAAATGAATACAAAATTTAAATACTTTTTACTCTACTAAGTATAACTCATGCAATATTTTAATTATTTTTTAAGAATTAATTTCAATTACAAAAAATATTTATTTGAAATAATTGGCAACATCTGATTTGTAGATAAGTCTGGTGGTAGTATAAAAAATATGTCTAATAGCAAATAATACTTACTTCCCCTGTCTTAACACTAAAATTTAATTGGACATTTTAAAAACTTCAACTAGGAAATAAGAGAAAGTTTCTCTTATACTCTTACAAATAAGAATATATTTATATCAGAATCAGGGAAATTTTTGGTCTTTTATTTTAGTTGTCATTTTTTGCTCTTTAATCTCATTTTCTTGAAATTTGTATAAATTTTAGGACTCAAAGTAAAAAATTTAAATATTCTTAAGTCTCAAAAAACAAAACACCAAGCTACCGAAATGTAGAAATCAAATTGCTTGGCCATATTTTATATTGTGTTTAAGAAATTAATACGAAATCATTTTGATAGAATCACAATCACAATTAATATTGAATAACTAAAAAAAATCAAATATCAAAATAGAAGGTTTTCAAAAATTTGTAGGTCAGCGAAAGTGGTATTTAAGAATTTTTTGTGTTTCGAAATTAACAAGTTTTAAAAATAAAATAATAGAAATATTCAACTTTTTATTGTTTTTAAAAATAAAATCATAAATTTTATTGAAACTTCCAAAATAATTAAAAACTTAAAAATTAATAAAAAAATAAAATAAATTAAGCAAAACTTCAAATATAATTTATATTATATTTAACTTTTATTTTACCAAATAATTTTAACTAAGTATATTTTTATTATGTAGTTTTTGATGCATTAAAAATTTTCTGTTTCAAAATAAGCTAAACATACACAGAGAAAAAAAAAACAAATAGTTTTCAAGTTTTAATTTAATCTTTAAACAATTTAAAAAAAAAAAGATACCAAAATAAATTTTTTTGTAATTGTTCTTGCTTTTGAACAATAAACATTCATAGTAAGTGTCTGTATGTATTTATATATATAATGTATGTATATATGTATATATCTATAATTTTACAACTGAACATGACATGACAACTGCATGTATTTTTATATTTTAAGAAATTATAATTTTATTACTTTTTTCTTTTTTCTTAATATAATTGAACAAAATAAAGCCTTATAGAAATTCAAATAAATTTATTTCACAATAGTAAGCTCTATTCTGACATTATAACTGTTTATAGTTTATGTTTCCGGAGGTCTAATCAAAATTTGCTCCTTCAAAAATTTATTTGTCTATTCTCAATCTAAATTGAAATTTATATCAATATACTACGTACATGTGTAGAAAAACTCACTAGGAAATAAAATTTGCCCTTATAAGAGCTGAGTTTAAAAAAAAAAACGGATATAAGCAAAGGAAGTTGTGCAATTTTGATGCAAAGCGAATCGAACTACGAATCATAAGTGAACTTAAAGATCTTCAAGAAATGCCAAGCAAATAACCCAATGAAAAATTTTTAGCTGCTTTTCTTTTACAAAGCAGTTGTAAGAGTTTAATAATAATAGGTTATTATTTTAAACTTTTTTTTAGAATATTCTTGGAATTCAAGGACTTTAATCGTTCTATAGTTCAAAGATGCTGTATAATTCAAAATTAATTTAAGAATTGAAAAATAATTAAAGTTATCATGTTTCTGTTGCAAAAACCACAGACATTTTTTACGTTTATACATGTATTAATATGTGTGTATGTTTATATATATATATATATAAATATATATGTATATATACACATTTAGATAGATATATATATATACATATATTAGTATATTTGTCACATAATGTTAGATAATTAATACATTTTTTTTATTTCTCTAAAAAAATTTTTTTAAATTTACAAATAGAAAATAACTAAAAAAAAAAATTTATAATACATTTACTCCAACATTATAGGTTTTTACTACGAATCTGAAAGAAAGTTAAATATGAATAATAAACAAAACGGCAAATCAGAGAAATATGAATTAAAAAAAAAAAAACAGAAAAAATATAAGTATATAGAATAAGTTAATGACTTTAGTAACATAAGAGAGCGAATATCTTTAAATTGCCTATAAAAAAAAACTGTTTAATGTACAGGTTATATAAAATTAATTTACAAAAAAAAAATAATATTTTATATGTACATATTCTTATTATATGTATATATAAAATATATACGTATTTATATCTACGAAATTTATATACGAAACAAAAGAAACCTTCTCTAATCTTTTACTCTACACTTTCACAAAAAAAAATTAAATTTAAACAAATTACCTGTACCTGAAGCAACTTGACCTGGTGTTGCTGGACCACTAGATACATTTGAGCCAGAAGCTGAAACGGATGCTCCTCTTGACACATCATTTTGTTGTGATCTTGGTAATAATTGCGGTATTAATGTGGGTTGTATTGATAATTCTAAAAAAATATAAACATGCATAGTTAATAATATTACAAAGAAAAAAAAACGTTATATTACCATGCTCTGTAAAATTAAATAGTGGTGGTAGATCACGACCATTTGGTAATGTCTGATTACCATCACGTAATTCACTAAAGAATGGATGAGCACAAGCTTGCAAAGGCGTAATTCTAGCGCTTGGTGTATATTCCAATAACCTTGACACCAAATTAATAGCTTCTGGAGGAGTTCTAATACGAAACACCTTAAATTTAAAAAAAAGAAAGAAATTGTATTATATTAAACTTTTTCATTTTATAAATTTAAAAAGATATATAAAATAACAATCAAAATAGTTAGGCAGAGTTATCAAACCATAGTTCACGAATTTTGTTTGATCATAGTAGGATAACATGCTTTCCATCTTCTCTATCTTCAACAAAATCCGTGAATAAAATTTGATAGTGTTAACCCTGACTTACAATTAAGAATGAATATTTGCTTTTTTATTTTTTTTTGCAAAAAAAACACTACGTTTTTCCTTTTTTTCATGTTAAAATGAAATGCGTAAAGACAAACTTATTGTTTTCTTCGATTTCAGTTATTGTAATTATAATAAATTTTGCTATTTTATTTTTTATCTGTTTTTTTGTTGACATTTTCCTATAACTTTAATTTTTTGTTCTTTGAAAATTTGATATTTTTTAAGTTTTACGAATAAACTAAAAAATTAATTTTATTATAAATTAGCACCATCTACACAATAAAGATATGGACCAAGATTTCGTCTTGATATTTTATCCACAGAACAAAGAACTTTTGTAACTTTTCCCCTTTCGAATAAAATGTGCCGAAGTTCAGATAGATCTTAATTGCCAAGTACGAGAAAATTTCCGTAAAAAGTTTAATCTTCCTTTCTTCAACGGTGGCGCAAAGCTTTTGTAAACAAACGGACACTAGAACAGAACTTATTTTTTTGAAAATTTGCCAAAAATATTTTTTGTCCTGTATGTTATTATCACAGTGAAAAGTCAATAAGTTTCGCCTTTTTATGGAGTATGAAATCTTAATTTAAAAGAAAAAACTTAAATAATTCACTTGCAAATAATGAGTTTATTTAATGCACATTTCATGAGCACACACATTTTAAATTAGGACTAAACATTTTAATAAATGTTTAATCGATTTTATTTTTTCAAGGTTTTGTGTTTAAGGAAGGTTTATAAGCAAATAAAAATTCATTTTTAAAGAATTAAAAAAATTATTACGCTACAAGAAATTTTAACAAGACCTAAATCTCATTATAAAGCACGCTCGGTTAATCAAAACTGCAAAATCTGCTGAAGCATCGACAATAAAGTCAATAAATCTCCGCTACAAAAAAAAAAACAAGAATAGCTGACCGCGTCAACTTTATGATACCCGTAAGAATTAGTGATTTTAAATGTTAGAGATAGATAGAAACCAATCCAACTTAAGAGTTTTACTGAAAATGATTACGACATTATCAAATTCCTTTGTTCAAAATTTCAGCATTGTAACACTCTACAGTTTCTAGACTATGAACAAACAGCTTATGAAATTGCATGGCAACTACCACACGCAGTCGATAAATTTCAACTAGTTTTATTAAACATAATAGCTCTGCTCTATGCACTGAATAATTTCTGAGATAAGACAAAATATTTGAAGTTGTATGGCAGCTATCACAAGCGCTCATGAAGTATCAATATCTTTTAAGAAATATGGTTGCCATTTTACTGTTTGTCTTGCAATATGTAATTAATGTAGGTTGAAAAGTTTTTAAGATATAGCCCAACAATTTTTCAATTTGCATGGCAGTTACCAGAAGAAACCAAGCAATTTCAACGACTTTAATAAAATAAAATAGTCGTAATAATATATTCGCTGTGCGATATTTCAATACCATAATTTTTATAATTTCTTAGATATAGGCAAATAAATTTTGAAGTTGCAGCGCAGCTCCCCGAACCATAACCTAAATCATATCAATTTAAACAGGCTTCTGGAGCTATAATAAATCGTTTGTGAAAATTTGGAAAACTTAGCTCAACTAGTTTCTGAATTATCGTGGGGACGGACGGACGATCGGACATGGATAAATCGACTCAGAATTCGACGCTGATGAAAAACATACTTGAATCTATATCTCGAACCATTATTTGTTAGCGTTACAAACGGTAAGGCAAATTTAATATACCCTTTTAACATACGTTACTACGAGTACAAAAAAAACACGATCGAAAATTGAAGTTGTGGCTTAAAATTCTACTAAGCACTTTTAAAATGTTTTTATAAATTCTGCGAAAATATTTTAAGTTTGAAAAAGATCATATAAGTTCAGAAAAATGCGGAATATTAGGATACCAAAAATCTACGATCATTTAATTTTTGCAGATTATTAAACAATATTTTTTAATCCTAATTTTCCGTTCAGACAATCCAAGTAATGCGCACGATTTGCATTGCTTGAACTGTCAAAACTGTCAAGAAATTCAAATGCGAATAAAAAAATATATGCTACCAAATAACAGTAAGTAAAAGAAGAAATTAATGTATAGTTATTAGAAAATTCTTGATGGTTTTGACAGTTCAAGTAATGCGTACTATTTGCTTTACTTGAACTGTCAAAAATTTTAAATACGAAAAGAAGAAAAAGAACGTACAGAATAAAAGTATAATAAAAATTACAGCAATTACATTCCCCACAGTAGTGAGAAAACAAATATAAAGCAGTGTCATGATAGCAGATTAGGTTTGTTACAAACCAAGTTAAAAAATTAAATTGAATTCATATCAAACGCGATGACGTTTATAACATAAAATTAAAAAATTGTAATCCAAATTATAACTGCAGTGGATTTATTTGCGTTTTATTTGCAATTTTGCTTGCAGTTTGAATGTCACACATACACAATATATCATATTTATATAACAAATAAAAAACAAAAGAAAATAAAAAGAAAATATTTATAAAACATTATTTTAAAACATTAACTCGAAATATCGACTCAACTATAATCACGAATAAAAATAAAAACGGCGCAAAATTAAAATTTTAATTGTTTAGTAAAATTATTGCTGAAGCGGCATTCTTAAATCAATTCTTAAAATTCAAAATTTGAAAAGTAATTACGCCCAACTGCATAAATCAAAAGACGACTTTTTTGAAATAGATGAAGCAAAGATTTGACATATTAGCAACGAAATTATATGTTTATGATAAAAAAGAAAATCTTATTAGTGATTAATATTCGCAATCAAAAAGACAAAAAAAAAAATTTAAAATTCTTTGGAAATCAAAAACCTTTTCTCAAATTCAAAATATATTATGTAAGTTTGAAACAGAATGAATTTTATAAAATATACAAAAAATGTATAGCAGTTATAAAATGTACGGTTGATTTGATGTACTTAGTTTGTGGCTTGATAAAAAACTTCATATGTTTTACGTAAGTTTTTCTTTTTTTGGTTTTTAGTACAAATTTATATATACAAAATTAAATACATTTTTTTTTTGTTTTAAAATTTACATATTTTTTATTAAAAAAGAATTATGTTAAAGGAAGATCCAATTCACTTTTTGGTAAAAATTTCTGTTTACTTTTAAAAATTAAATGTGTATAACCAAATGTATAAAAATCAGTGAGTTCTGTATATATTTATCTCTTTTTAATTTGGCATTCTTACTCTCAAACGTTGTTGTTGGCTGAGGGCTTTAGAAAATTGGGTACGCTCAAGTAGTGACTGGAAAATAGTTTTGGAAATATATATTTTTTTTTGTGAATAAAATCTTAACTTGTATTTAACTGAGATAAAACTTTTTGAGAAAAATTTTATAAAGACATAAAAATAAGAAAAAAAAAAACAAAATTGAGTCGATAATCGATATAATATTTGGAAATCAAAAATTTCATATTTTTCTATTATAATAAAATAAAAAGCCTTATAAATAAAATTTATAAGGTCAATTTAATATCTGATAAAAAATTTAACAATTTAAATATAATTAACATTTATTATAATAAAAAGCATGTATGTAATGTATGTATGTACTAAACTGATGAGAAAATGAGCGAAATTTTTGATTTTCACTTAAAATCAAATCAAGCAGAAGAAGTAAAATTCAAATATTTTTTTAAATAACAATATATGATTTTTATATTAAATATATTTTAAATTATAGTGAAATATGCTTTTAAATTAAAATTTTTCTTTAGTAATTTTTTACCTTTTGCCATGGATGACTTTTTATCTGTGGAAATTTAAATTCAGTATAATTCGGGTTCATTTCTCGTATTTGTTCTCTTGTTGGTGTACCCAAAACTTTAATAACTTCAACCAATTGATCGACACCAGAATCACCAGGAAATATTGGCTGACCAAGTAATAGCTCTGCTAATACACATCCAGCGCTCCAAACATCTAAAAATAATTAAATAAATAGTAAATGCTAGTAAAAAAAAATTTCCTAGAATAAATCGCATACGTTAAATAAAGTAATATTGTTTCATTTCAATTCAACTGGTGGTACAGTAGGACGTTATCAGCTAATCAATTATCTAAATGAAGTAGAAATGTGCCTTACACTGTGAACAAAAAATTTTGTAAGAGCCCAATATAGTGAACAAATTTTATGTTCTCTATTTTTTTTTTATTTTTTCTTCTTTCTCTCATTATAAAAGGATTTTTCATATTAAATATTAGAAAAAAGAACAATTTTTGTTTATGAAAGTACAACTTATATTGTGTCGTTACATCGTCGTGATTATTTAATCGTAAGTGGTTTCATGTTCTTTTTTTGGAATACCGGAAACGAATTTTAAAAGAAAAATTTAAGTTTAAGTAAAAAGTTTACAATTATAACATCTTTGAAATCAGAAGTAAGAGTTGCAAAAATATCTAAAGAGTTTGAATATTTCAAAGCAATAAAATTTTAAAAACTACTTTTAAATTATTTTATTTAACATTTAATATAGTAATCATTATTTTAATTGTGTTCACTAGAATAGATTCTTATTGTATTGTACGTGCATCTAAATATTTTTTAAAAAAAATTTTAAATATTTATATTTTATGTATAAACAGAAACTATAATTATACAAGTATGTGTTTAAAAATTTCTAATACAGGACATTGTTGTGTCCTATATTAAAAATATTCATACGACATGATATAAAAATAAAGCATTTTTTTATAATTTTCTAAATTTAATCTCTATATACATATATAAACAGTGTAATCTATAATGAAAATCATACGATCATAGTGATTATTGGAAATTTAAAGAATAATATCAAAGTATAATCTTTTTCTGGTTTATAAACAGAGAGAACAATAACTGCAATTCCTCTAAATAATGCAAATATTTCTAAATTTACTTTAACTAATATTTTCATATTATGATATTATCTAACAAACATAAGATAAAAAAGGTGTTGCGTTACATAATGAATAAAAATAAACGACTCTTTCTGACGTTTTTAGCATTATATTGGTAAAAAGCAAAAAAACAAGAAGCAATACTTTGATATTAATTAGCTCCTAATTTGGTTTTTGTATATATATATTTTTTCTTATTCGAATCTTCAATTTAGCCCGGCAAATTTTTGTGTAATTTTTAGTTCTTGATGCGGGAAACAATGAATTTATTGATGAGCCAACCATCCCCACCATTTTGAATTGAAATGGACAAAATAATGTTTTAAAATTTAAGCTAAAAATAAAAACTAAATATAAATTCGTTATTCTATAAATATTTTAAACTATTGCAATATATTTGATATATGTATTTACTATAAATTTTAATTTTATTTATATTTACCGATTTTAGTAGTATAGTTAATTGCACCAAATATTAATTCTGGTGCACGATAATATCTAGAGCATATGTAAGAAACATTCGGTTCGCCATGCAATAATTGTTTAGCGCTACCAAAATCGCATAATTTAAGCACAGCCGTTTCAGGATCCAGTAACAAATTTTGTGGTTTGATATCGCGATGACAAATACCCAATGAATGTATGTATGCCAAGCTTCTGAATAATTGATACATATAGAGCTGTAAAATGTTATAATAAAAATATATATTATATATAGCTAAAAAGAAATATTGAGTGTATTTAAAAATTCTATATCAAAATAATTATTCTATATTTAACTAAATTCCCTGCTTCCCAAGAATAAGATAAATTTTGGCATATTGAGTATGCCAAAATTGACGTTCTGTAGATGTCTATGCAACTTTTTTTCTCTATCTCTCAACAAGTTGATTTGACTAATGCTATACATATCTATTAAATCACCAAGCTCAGAAAGCAAATTAAAAATAAATTCCAAATTTATATGTAGTTTATATGGAAGGGGTTTCGGAAATAATTCGTAGCACGAAAATTGATTAATATTTTAATTCTACATATTTTTTTTAATTCCGAAAAAATTCGTGGGTAATTTCGTTTGAAAAATTCATTTAAAAAGGAAAAAAAAAAGGAATTTTTAACACGGCCAATATTTTCTGTCTTCCAAATGGAAGGTACTGAATTAAAGAGCAAATTTTTTTAATTACAAATTGGATTTAAAAAGAAATTGAAAAAAAAACATTTATCATAATCTAGATCGCTAACAACATACCAAATATAATGAGAATCACAAAGAATACTCAAAAATTTAACAAGAAAATAAAAAAATATTTCAATCGGAATATTTCGAAAACATAAAACACTAATATTTGTTTTTGTAATGTTCTCAGTTCGGAAGTATTTCGGTAAATAACTTCAGCTGGGTGGTCTAATAGATATATATGACATTAGATTCAGCTTTAAAAATGCAGTGCCAAACGGCAATATTTATTTGACGTAAAAAACGTCAAACATGAAAGCAATTTTTTAATTCTAACACCGGATGCTTGAAATGAAAAATTCGAATCCGGTGCGCAGCAACCGCAATTTCAGCAGTGTACATTTAAAATACAGATATAATTTTTTTTTGTTTGACAACCAAATACCAGATACATTCTATTATTTCTCTTATTTAATTGGCAAATTCTTGAATTCAATGTATCTGTGAGAGGGAGGAATCACAGATACAACAGCTCATCTCCAATAAGCCAAGTAGTAAATACAAAATTTTTGTGCAGTATTTGACTCATAATGTTTTTCTTATACAAAAATTTTGGTGTAAAGAGTATTAAATATATTGCACATTTTTTTTAAAACTTACCCTGATAAAATTTATTGGTATTGTTTGCTTAGTTTTGGCATACTGACGCGCAACTTTGTATACGGTTTCTGGTATATATTCGAGTACTAAATTCAAAAACACTTCGTCTCTCTGAAAAATAAAAATTGCAAAAGGAAAAAATAAAATAAGAAAAAAGAATGGTTTAATATTTTATTGCAATGGAAAATTATTTTAAACGAATTTCATTCAGTTTTAACGTTTTTTAATATTTTTTAAATTTTTTTTGTATCAAATTTTTAATTTATTTTTGTTTTTTTTTTTTTTTAATTATTATTATTTTTGTGTAATCAATTAAAACAATTTAATATTTTTTTCTAGCATCATATTTTCTACATTTTTTCTTTATCATTTATTTTAAATATTTTTTTTTGTTTTGCTAGCGGTATGAACTGGAAATTAGCGCGTAATTTTATAAAAGCCATAAAATGAATTTTTGATTTTAATCATTTTTAATTTTATAGGGCGATATGTTTAAATTTTTATAAAAAATTATAATTTTGTTGATATTAAAAAAGTAATTTATTTATTTATTATTGTGAATAAATTGAAAAATATTGTATTTTTATTAATTTTAAGACGTTGAGTTTTCCCAACATATTCTGTTACGTATATATTATCTTCCGTCCATTATAATCATAAAATTATTTATTTTTTTGAATTAAATAAGTTTTGTTCATACATTCAAAAACATCATAAATTTTTTTTTGTATGAAATTTAATGTATGATTTTATTTTTAATTATTTGAAATTTAATGTATTTAAGAAAGCAACTATCATAATGGAAAGTTTTGTCGCATTCTTTTAAATACGAGTGTAAAAATAGCAATCTGGTGTATTCAAAATGCAACCGTAGTTAATTACGAATGTCAAAAAATTATAACAATTTATTTTATTTTAAAACACCCTTCATGAACGGTCATGAACCCATCATGAAGAAAATTAACTATGGATAAAACCTTATAGTATGTACAGAACACGAAATTTATTAGCACCAATAAAAGGATTTTTTTAGAATTGAAGAAAGTTCTTTTAACCCAATAATGCTTTAAGTACTGGTCTATCAATTAATAATAATTTATTTAAGTTGTTTTATTTAATATAATTCCAAGCACATTTATTGCTATACCCAAGTGTTAACTGTGTACTGGATTTTATTTAAATATGTCTAAAAAGTTTTAAATGTGTCGATTCGTTGTCAAATCAGAGAGAAGTAAACAACTCGCCTGATTAACTCGTGTAAATCTATTAATTTTCCACCAAAAACTTTTAAGTATTTTTTATTTAAACAGAAAATACTAAATTTGTTCCAGTGGATTTAAAAGTAGTTTTCATATTTCTATTATTATTATTTGAGATTATTCATTAAAATGAATACGATTTTATTAATTAACAAAAAATTGTATTCCAAAAATTTTAATTACAACCTCTTCAAAAAATAAAAGAAAATCAGCAAAAACCAAATTTTATAAAAATAGTTAGTAAATGCACGAATTAGCCACATATAAACTGAAATCTAAATGATTAAATAAAATTCATTAAGCGTGTGTGAATTTAAATTAAAAAATATATATTTTAATAAATTTAATTAAAAATTTTTCAAAGAAAAAGAATTGATGAAACCTAAAATAAAATCTATATGCAATGGTTAATAAATTAATAAATGTAAAAAAAAAACAACCATTTTGCTTTTGTCGCTCTTTAATCTTGCAAAATATATTTGAAAACTAACAATATGACAATTTATTTTCAAACTATATATAAAGGAAGTGAAAATTAATATAAAAAAATAAAATTAATTAAAATTGATTTTTTTAATTAAAATAATACAAAACCAAAAAAATATCAAAAAAATAATCTACCTGTGGCTTTAATATCGGTGCAAATATTCCTAAATCAATTGGAAAGTCGGCTTGCTGTGGCCGAAATTAAAAAGAAATTTTTGTTTTTAATTTTTAAATTGAATGCTTTACATATATTCTATAACAATTAATTTTTATTTTAAAAATTTAAAAATATTTTATAATAAAAAAAATTCGTAAAATATAATTTACTATTTTCGTTTAAAAAATTTTTTCTTTTATTTTTGTTTCTTGCGTTTAAGTATAAGAGTTAAGAGGTTAAAAATGTTTGATTGAATATAAAAGGTAAGAATGTATAAATGTTAACATTTTAATAACATTAGAAGATGCTAGGGGGAGCATATAAATTCATTAATTTTTTTTTTATGTTTGACCGATTTCTTTTATTAATTTTTTTAAATTTTATTAATTTTATTCATAATTTGTTAAGAAAAAAAAACACGTTTAAAGTTTTTCGAAAATTGCTTACCTTCTCACCACTCGAATAAAAAAAATATAATAGTTTAACAATATTACAATGTTCCAATTTTCTCATTATTTGAAGTTCGCGATTCTAAAATTGAAAAAATATAAAAATTAGTTATCAAACTCAAATAGGTATGTATTAAGGTATATTATTCTATTATATATTTCTGGAGATGTTCTACAAAAAAAGAAAATAATACACAAAATTATATTTTTTTTCCTTTTTTGTCAAAATTATTTGCGTTCACGAGTTTGAACAAATGAACGAGTAGCCAAAACTCAGCACAACTACACTAACTCGAACAAATGTGTACATAATTTTATAGTTATATAGTTTTTTCATTTTGCAGAAAATGGATCGTGTGTTATCGGAGTTATTTTCGCATTTATTTATAAAGTAATTAGGATTTATTCTGCGCATCGATTCACTAAGTGATAACGATAATTATTATCGTAAAAAGTTTGATATTATCGTTGTAAACAAAAATGAATATTCATACAAATGGTTCGCGTCTAAAATAAAGTTTTTGAAACTTTTGCTATAAATATTGATACTCGAATTAAATTATATCCAAAATTTGAACAATAAAAAATATGATTATACCAAAAAAAAGTAGATTTATGTTTTACTCGGTCCTATTTAAAAACTACGCTTTTAAGATCAAGCTCATAAGTAACACAAGCTTATGAGTAATTTGAACAGGTAACTGGAACGTAAATATTATATTATATAATATGAAATTATTCCCATTCTTTTAGAATGGGAACAAAATTAAAACATATATCAACATAATAACCGACAGCTATAATATTAGCAAGGTATTTAAGATTAATTTTAAGCCTCACTTGCACAAAAATAAGAAGCCGAAAATTGGAGAAACTTCCACACTTTTTAGAATCGACATTTGAAGGCGAGAATGGCGAAAAAAATAATTTGTTGTTTCTCTAAAACAAAAGAGATGTTAAACTTTATAAAAACGGTCAATTTAAATGACTATTTTTTCATTATAATATTGCTGTTACGCTGTAGCGTTCGGAGAACTTAAATGTTTTTGGTTTCGATAAAAAATATAGTAAATTTTTTCTAGAGGAATAGATTTCTCGCAACGACATATTTGCGTGAGTATAAAATTTCAGTTTTTTATATTCAATTATGTAAAAGTTGTGCAGCACGAACAAATGAAAGAGTAGACTAAAAGCGTTTTTTGTTGGAAATATATGAGAAAAAAAAATTTATACAAAAACAATATAGGTTATTGGTTGTATTAAAGAAAAACAGTAAGTCCTCAAATATAATTTTTTATGGGTTTATGCTATCCATTCATCATATTCGAGAATAACATCGAATAATCAATAATCGTATATAAATTATACCATATTATATTAACAAAAATTACTATAGTGTACCTTAAATCGTCTATCTTGTAGAACTTTTTTAATGGCAACCAATTCACCAGTGTCGCATAATTTCGCTTGGAACACAACACCAAAACTTCCATTTCCAATTACTTTTGTGTCTGTATAAGATACTTCTTGAACACGATCCGCACCTTGCCCAGGTGTTGCAACAACAGTAGTTATTTTTGATCCATCTTTGCCTGAAAAATTTATAAAAATTTAAATAATTAGTAAAATAAATAATTATAAAAATGATATAAAAAATTAAATTGGATAGATTTTTTATCCAAAATATTGAAATAGTTTTTTTTTTTTTAATTAGATTTAAATAATCAACTAAAAAAGAAATAATAGTTTTTCTTATTAGCAATGGAATTAGAATTTTAACAATATTTTGTTATTTTATATTTAGGAGGGACAATAATTAGGGAAGAGGGAAGTTACAAAGAAATCTTGCTCTAGTAAAACAAAATGTTTTTCAATTCCTGCAAACTATTAATAAAGACACATTCGAAATTCCGCGTAAGATTCTCGACAGGTTTGCTTTAACAGAATTAACGAATTTCTTTTGATTTGATTACAGAAGCCTCCCAAAAACTTGCATTTTTTTAAAAGAAATTTTGAAAAATTCATTAAGATCTATTTGTACACAAAACTTTATCTTTCCATACTAAATGTATTTTTAACACATTTATAAATTCTATATAATTTTATTAATAACAAAAAGATTTTCAATACTTTAAAGTTTAAACAATATAATATCAAAGAAATATTAATTAACCAGTGACGTCATTGTAAATTTCTATGGAAGAGATAACACAGTTAGTTTCGTCGAAAAGTTAAACATTGTATAGGAATTTGAGCACATGTTTAAAAAGCGTTTATTGATTTTAAGCGTTATTTTCTATTTTTATTTTTCTTAAAAAAATAAAAACACGCTATAGCTTTTCTTTTCTGATAATAACAATAATGAAATAAAATTTATGACGTTATTAAAAGCCGTCAACAGATTTTTAACTCTAGTTCAAGTATAAATCGATTAATTAAAATTTTATTGAAAAAAAAAAAAGCTTTTTAAAATTTTCACACTGCTTCAAAATAGAATTGAAAACATGCTGCTTTTTTCTTGTTTGATTTAGAACTTTTCTGATATTTTATTAATTACTGTAAGGCGAAATTTACATTGACACATAAGAAATACTGAACTAAATAAAATAATATTACGAACATTTAATTAGGTCGACTATGAAATATGTCTACCAGTTTATTGATAACTATAGATGAATAGTTTTTTACAAAAAACAAAGTATAGAAAAATAGTACAGTTTTCTTCATATATAATATTTACTGTACGCTTGTATCGCCATTCAAACACCAAAATTTCGTCATCGTATATTAATTTTTATTGTGAGCATATAGCGTTCCTAGTTTTAAACGTATATGCCAGAGATGGGGAATTTGCTAACTTTGCGGGTCTTTTGTGCGGCCCCCGCCACCTTTTGTATTTGTATGTCTTTTAAATACTCAATTACTTTCAAGTTAAAAAATGTAACAACTGATTTAAAAGTATGGAGGGGTGGCGAAATTTTCTAAAACTGCACCGGGCGTCAAACAAGCTAGAACCGGACCTAGCTATCGGGATAAAAAAGTTGCACAGACTTAAGTAGTACAGACTGAAATTTCATGATTGTGACTATGCAAAGATGCATTGCTGCATACATAATATTAGTCCATTTACAAGCCATTATATAGGAATGAAAATAAAATAAACTTTTATTGCAAAATATATAATTTTTCAATGAATAGAAAAAAAATTCCTAAATAATTTTGTTATAAAAAAAAAAATTCAACTTTGTCGAAAACTTTCATAAATTTTATGTAATAAAAAAATTATTTTGATTCGTATGAGGCAGCCCCCAGCCAGTTAAAATTGACCAAAGCAATTTTATTGAAATCAAAAATAGATTATAAATCTAATTAAATTAAAACGTGTGCACATAATTTTTGCCAAATAAATAATAATTTTTTTTTAGATTCAAAATATTTGCTTAGTACGATTATATAAGTAATACAAATAGTAATTCATAGTTATGACCATTTAATTTTAAAGTTAGTTCGTACATAATTTTTAATGATATGCTAATGTTTAATTTAAATAATTAATTTATTAAATAAATAATGAAATATTTAATGTTATTTTTTTTCCTAAAAATTTCCTACCTTCAATAGGATCTCCATCACCAATATTACCCCGTAAAATTTCTTTTGATTCATCAATTGTTTTTGTTATGGATAAAGCTACTTTTTGATCTGGCCACAAATCTTGTAATTTACCAACTAACAATTTCATATCTTTTTTTTTAATACATAAAATAAGACCGCGTTTTTTTATTGACAATACATATATAGAAATTAAAAAAATATAGGTAAAAAAAAAATTGCAAATAAAATGAATATTGTACTTTTTATAAAAACCCTTATGTTTTAAAACAATTGTATAGAATGTTTTAAATTTAAGGTATGTATAGAAAAGACTTACTGCTATAACAAGAATTTAATATATGTAACACAAAAAAAATTAATCGTGGTTGTTCTGTTTTCAACTTCTTTCAGAATCAAATCGTAAAAAAACGAAATCAGATCTCAAAAATTCACGAAAATCAATGTTCTATTTTAAATCTGCACTTACTCATTGTAATTTTCACTCATTTCACTCTCAAGAGTATAAATGGTAATATAAATTAAATTTTCAAAAACAAAAACTCGTTGTTTTATTGATTTCCTATTGAATTTATGAATTGAAATCCAAAATATTATCAAATTCCCGTTTTATCGAATTGATTTTATTAAAATTCCAGTTTTTGTAAATTGTTCTCTTAATCACTCGATTTCGGAACACCAATTCCAAATCAACTACAAATTGATTTTCATAACTGTTTTCATTAAACTTGATTTCTTGAACAACCACGTACATATTCATACATTTTAACAACTTAACATAAATTTTTACTTAGATACTTACATAGGCATGCATGTCACGAGTATTATTATATGTATAACAAGTCACAAAAACTAACTACTTCAAATAAACACTATATATGTAATTAATTAGCATGACCGCTGAAATTCTATGGCGTTTTTCAGTTACAATACTGATAATTTCCCCAAAAAAAAAGAAATCTTAAATAAGACTTTATGAGTTCAAAAATTTAAAATTTTTCCTAATGCAAATATTATGAATAATAAAATGAATAATTATATTTCCTTCTTGTACATCTACTCATTACAGATTTCTAAAATAAGCGAATAAAAAAATTTTTTTTTCTGTTTTTAATCACAGGTTTTTATGATTTAATTCTTCCAGGATTAATAATATATTTTATAATCAAACTTCTAATTAATGAGAAAAAAAAAACCAAATGTAAGGTATCTTCTTCAAATTGTTATTGGCAATTTCATTCCATTAAGTACATTTCCCAGTATGTCAAACGCTTACAATTTAAATACATCAATGATTTTCAAGCTTAATGTAATCATAAACTTTAAGCTAACGCAATTGCTAATCATTTCATTATTTTTTCTTTTTAAGATCAATGCATAATTAAAAAATGAATCCCTAATAAAATCGCCATTTTAAAAATTGTTAATTTGTCATACGCATGGTTATCATATGTAAAATCAAGTATCTGTTCGATTTGATTGACATGATTGTCAAATTCTTGACATACTGAAAAATTACCGTTAGCTAGTCAAAAATCTTCTTACAACTTAAAAATACAAAAAAATAACGAATGAAATTTCCAGACAATAATTACCCATAAATTTTGTTTTATTTAATTAATTATTCCAGGTTAGTTAATAATTTCCTTCAAACGAAAAACAGAAAATAAAATTTCAAATACAGTAACTTTAAAAATGCAGTAAATACCGTCAATTAAAACTACAATAAACTCAATCACGTATTAGTAAAATAAACATAACGTATGTTACTGCATTTTTGAAATCAGAGGTATTTTAAAAATATAATAGTATTAAACCCAAATTAGTTTTGTCGTTTAATATGTGTAACGGTACCACTTGATTTTTTCATTTTTCTCAGAAATTATACAAAGATATAAGGTTACAGTTATAGTTACTAATTATTATAACGAATAATTTAATTGTATTGTAAAAAATATCCTATATTATTAGGATATTTTCCTATTAGGATTAGGAAAGTTTGCTCGAAAACATAATAGTTTTAGAGAAAGAAGTTTTAAATAGCTTTCAATATAGTTATATGACAAATTAAAATACTTGCGAGATATTAATGCATTTTTCTCGCAAAGCTCGCCGGAATTATAAGTATATGGTTTCAAATGTAAATATTGCAATGATAATTAGCATTCAGTATAAGTCTAAAAAGTACATTTATTTGAAGTTAAAAATTAATTGCCTGAATTTGCATCTATTTTGTATACACAAATTCAAATAATTGTATATTTTGTAGTTATACAGAATAACGTGATTTTTTCTTTTATTTGCTGTATAAGTACGAGTACATATATATAATATACGCTTATATATTGTGTTTCAGGTGACGCCAATTTTTATATACAACAATTTCATCAAAAAAAAATATCTATTTAATTGATCACAATTTTTTTTTATTTATCGATTCCCTTCAATATCATTTCCACCAATGACAACCATGAGAATTCTAAGTAATTGGCAATGTTTTCAGATACTGACACTGACTTCATTGTTATTTTTGCACAATTAAGTATACACAAATATACTTGTATACATAGATGCACAATTATGCATTTTGAAGGTACCATTAGATTTGTAAGTGTATATTTTATTTTATATGTCAATATTATGTAAAATTTCAAATATAAAATAAATGATTTCCCGTATTATATTATGATAACAGCTATAATTGTTATACGCATATATATTACATTATAGTTATTTACAAGTGATTAACATACACATATATACATATATATATATATGTATGCATGTATGAAAATGTCTGTTGTCTAAACATTCTATGTTTTATATATAGATTTTATTATATGTATAACAGATAAACGTTAAAATAATAGAATAACCCTAAACTTATAATTGAATAACTTGGTTCTAAAAATGGTTTTGTTGTGGCATTATCACTTGAATCCGAGTCTGTGCTATTTGAACTACTATCTGAATTTCTTGA